TCATTTGCCAAAAGCATCCAGCATATTTTAAGTCTGGATTAACTGAAGTGATCTTCTTAAAGTTGCTGCTCTGTTAAGACACTGCTTTTCCCTAATCACTCCCTCAAATTAAAATCAGTAACAAAGCACAGTAATCTATTAGCGTCTCATCTTTTGAAATAAAACTTAAACGTTTATAATCTAATCAACTCTGTAAGAGGTTAATCATTGTTAAGTCATGTCTAGATTAAATAGAAGGAAGAAGAACAAATCCCATGGAAAGGGAGTAATACTTGGAAAAATGAAGGGATTGAGTACTCTTCTTATAAAAACAGATATGTTCTTTCAAATCCTTCAAATTTTTTTTTTAGGTATCTAGAAACAAAGTGTTTCTTGAGCATAACTTATTTACTATACCTGAAAGTTGTATCTCTGTAGAAATGGCAAACTACATTTTTACTTTCTTTGACTTCTTGGAAAAAGTCTCTCTCACTCGGGATTTCTCTGTATTCTCCATGTCCTTTTGAAAGCCACTCCTTATGGAAAACATAAAAGCAAATAATTAGTAAGGAGTTAGTGCTGCATCTGCCATGCAAGCTCTACTGCTTTAAAAAACACGGTAAAGATTACAAAATATGTTCATAGAGATCTTCCATTGAATTAACAGATAAAACATTTTTTTAAGATGGGGGGCTTCAGTGGAAGCCCATTCATACAGTAATATTCAGAAGGAGAAACAAATTACTTCCCTCCCATTACTTCTGTTTTCAAAATACACAAATGCCACTACGCTAGTATGAGAAGAGGAAAAAAATTCTTTCAGTCCACGTAGACAACTTCCTGAAGATTTTCAGAGTCCGCTGTAACGTACACATCAAGAGTCTATATTACTACAAGAATTACTTGTTTCTGCTGCTGGGCCTTTTTCAGTGCTTCAAGCCTCCTTTGCTTAAGGCGTTCCAATTCATCTTCATCCATTTGGTCCAGTTTCTGCATTTCAGCATCTAGATGTTCTTCCACTGCCTTGGTAGTCTGAAGTATTTCATTCTCCAGAACTTTTTGAAGTATTTCAACAGAGGTATCAGCAGCCATCTTTAATTATACCGTGAGCTCTTCAGAGCTGTGAAAATAGTGATACATTTAATTAATATTTAAATGGACGCTTTTGATTAAAAGCCTGATCTCTCTTACTCGCAATTCACACTGCAGAGAAACAAAATGCTATCCTATTTAAAGATAACAGTAGACAGTCGTTTTCTGTATTGCAAAAGCCTTTGGAAAATACTTGCAGAATAAACACACACAGCAAAAAGGATTCTAGTCAAGTCCTATTCTCTCAGTCCCACGATCAGCTGTTCAAAGTGCGCAGGAACCTCGAACTACTTGTTAGTAGAAAGAAGTAGAATTAATTAGTTCCAAAGGGATGCTCAGTCTGAGCCAGATCCATGCATTAATTCTAATCACATCACCTGGTTTCAGAATATTAATTCAGAAAGCTCCAAATTGCTTGGAGGAGGCATAAGATGCATCAGAACAAATCTAAGCAAGGCTCAGTGCATGTATTTCCAATAGTAGTTTAAATTGGGATTAGTTTAAGTATCTGCTGTGTATCAATATATTTAAATCTGCATTAACACTCCTCCCTCCTTAGCCATAGTAGAGAGACAAGGAGCTCAACAGCAACTGCTTTAGGCTAACACACTGCTTCAACTAGTACAAGAAGACTGCTATTGCAGGCACTATCTATAGCAATCAGGGAAAGGATTTAAAAAACCTCAACAACCACTACCTAATTGCTGTGTGAAGAAATATAGCTATAGTCATTTTCTGTGAAGTTTTTTTCTCCTCATAAGAGGCTTCAAATGGCACAAAATACCAAGACTGGGGAGCAAGGAGAGCTGTAGGAACATAACTGATTGCTTTCCCCAATAAACTTCCACCTTCCAATACAAACAGCTATCACTGTAATGAGTGACAGTTTGAAATGCACAACCACCCTAATCAGATCCTTAACCTGCAGGCCATGGATCTGATGTGACAACTTTGGGTTCCAGGGTACTCTTGGCTACATTTTAAAAGAGCCAAACTAGCAGTACCATTGGCTTTGTAAACACCTTGCATATAGAACCAAGAACACATTATAAGTAGCAATGGGCAAAACACCAACAACGTGGCAGTACTCCAAGTTTAATGCAACATCAGCAGTACTAGCCTACTGCCACACTCTAGATGCGCCAGAGTCTGGCTGGTTCTGATCTGCAACACCTTGTCTTCAACCCCTCTCCCAGAAGCTACTAACTACACATTCTCTCCACTAGCCTTTCCTCTCCCTCTATGTTATGCCATCCATCTGGGGATATTAAAAAAAAAAAAAAAAACCTTACTGGCAAAGGCCAGAGGCCACTGGATCTTCAAGAAAGGGAGGGAACTCTGCTAAGTTATGGCAAAAGATGTTGTGTCCTCCATGCAAGCGAGAAGGAAAAGGAAAAGCAACCCCACACTGTGCTATAATCTCCACTACGGTCTGAGATCTCCAGAGGCTGGTCTCAGCTTTCCAAACTGAGTAACCCTGGGTGGTAACAGGTGTTTCATACGCAGCCAGGGCCCCTCGCCCACAACACCACTGACTCGCCCACAACACCACTGACTCGCCCACAACACCACTGACTCGCCCACAACACCACTGACTCGCCCACAACACCACTGACTCGCCCACAACACCACTGACTCGCCCACAACACCACTGACTCGCCCACAACACCACTGACTCGCCCACAACACCACTGACTCGCCCACAACACCACTGACTCGCCCACAACACCACTGACTCGCCCACAACACCACTGACTCGCCCACAACACCACTGACTCGCCCACAACACCACTGACTCGCCCACAACACCACTGACTCGCCCACAACACCACTGACTCGCCCACAACACCACTGACTCGCCCACAACACCACTGACTCGCCCACAACACCACTGACTCGCCCACAACACCACTGACTCGCCCACAACACCACTGACTCGCCCACAACACCACTGACTCGCCCACAACACCACTGACTCGCCCACAACACCACTGACTCGCCCACAACACCACTGACTCGCCCACAACACCACTGACTCGCCCACAACACCACTGACTCGCCCACAACACCACTGACTCGCCCACAACACCACTGACTCGCCCACAACACCACTGACTCGCCCACAACACCACTGACTCGCCCACAACACCACTGACTCGCCCACAACACCACTGACTCGCCCACAACACCACTGACTCGCCCACAACACCACTGACTCGCCCACAACACCACTGACTCGCCCACAACACCACTGACTCGCCCACAACACCACTGACTCGCCCACAACACCACTGACTCGCCCACAACACCACTGACTCGCCCACAACACCACTGACTCGCCCACAACACCACTGACTCGCCCACAACACCACTGACTCGCCCACAACACCACTGACTCGCCCACAACACCACTGACTCGCCCACAACACCACTGACTCGCCCACAACACCACTGACTCGCCCACAACACCACTGACTCGCCCACAACACCACTGACTCGCCCACAACACCACTGACTCGCCCACAACACCACTGACTCGCCCACAACACCACTGACTCGCCCACAACACCACTGACTCGCCCACAACACCACTGACTCGCCCACAACACCACTGACTCGCCCACAACACCACTGACTCGCCCACAACACCACTGACTCGCCCACAACACCACTGACTCGCCCACAACACCACTGACTCGCCCACAACACCACTGACTCGCCCACAACACCACTGACTCGCCCACAAGGGGGGCGAGGGCGGAGCCGCGGAGGGCGGCGGCGGGGCTGGGCCCCTCGAGCGGCGCTGTGATTACCGGTAAGGGCCGGGCTGGCGACGGGAGGGCTCCGCCAGAGCACTGAGGCGATCTCGGTTAGAAGACGGCTGTGTTTGACTAGCCGGGGCATGTCATGTCTTTGTTCTTCTTGCCAGTACAGCAGACGACTTACCACAGCTAAATAATGAGCTATTAAAATGTGTAAAAAAAAAAAAAAGTGTTTTGCTTCCTTGTTTCCTGGATCTCTGGATTCGTCAGAACTGGAGCATGTTGATGATGAAAGATAAGGCGGAAAGATAAACTTCTGGTCTTATCTGTAGTCCACTGTGGCTAAGGGTGAGAGATGGCGATGAGCTGTAGCTGTATAAAGGGAGAAGGAAGTAGGAAGCAAGGATTTTAGGGAGTAAGGCAAGGTAAAGGTCCTGAGACTGAAAGATGAAGAGTGAGGCTTGTTCGGGCCAAAAAAGGAAAAACTACTACCATTACTGGATAATGACAATAACAAAAATGTGCCACTCTCAGAGTGTATTAGATGGCTCCATGTCTGTGATTACTGCAACAGATTGGTGGTCTTTCTGCTCCATCTTGCTTTGCTATTGAGGAGTTAGGCCAGGAAGAGAGGGGGTTGCAACTGGGAGCCCCTGTATCATAATATACACATTGGTTTTAATATTTGTTTGAATTTACTGATCTTCTAATGCACAAGTGGTACTCCAGACTCTCTTGTAAGAGAGTGCAGCACCATTTTAGTTCTAGTGCTATCAAGTGTTTTGGCAGGAAGGAGGAAGAGCTTTGTACAACGAGAACGAAGGCAGGAAACATCGTTCTGCTGGTGTGGTCTCGCCGCCATATCTCCCCGGGCTGGAACCTCTGTCCCTGGCACTGCTGTTGACTTGGTTTCTCTGAAGCTGAGCTTGACAGTCAGTTTGCCTTTGTGCTGAGCTGTGAAACCTAACTGCGCCTACTCTGACCCTCATTTTGGCTGGAGGCCAGTCACCACAGTATCAGATGGTGGACTTTAGTTGTTTACAGTTCAGCTCTGGTGCGGGGAAGTGGCAGGGATCAGGGACGGGCAGAGCTCTGCAGAAGGCTGGGAAAGAACAGCTTGCGTTTAGAGGGAAAGGGTAATAATTATACCAGGCAGTGTCCATGAACATGCCTCACACTAGAATTATCATCCAGTAAGTGGCCCCCATATGCTGTCCCAGCACACCCTAAAAGCTTTCCACTTAATCTCCCTGCTTTTTCGGTCTGACCTAGCTGTCCTGTTTACCCCCAGATAAAAGCTTTCCGACCATGTTCCTTTTATCTGGGCCGTTCAGTCGGTTTTCACGGCCAGCCAGGACAGTCCTGTGAGGCCTTGTGGGCCTCAGGGCAGCCCTCTGGGGAGACAGCAGGGCGTCGGGGAAATTGCAAAGCCGGGGCATTACTCAAGTCATTCTCCGGGGCCGTCGGAAGACCAAAATGGTTGAAAACGAAACCAGTTTCGAAAAGCCAGTGCCTGCGAAGCCCCCA